CCTAGTAAAAATGTCCCCTGCACCTGCTTGTAGTTGTTCTCAGGAAAAAAGGACAGGTACAAACTTTGTGCCATTTTTTTCCCTCTACCAAGATTAATAGCTTGGGGGGGGGGGGGTTCTATTAAGAAAACAGCTAAGCCCACAGTCTCAGTTTAGACCATACCACTCTGGCAGCCATTCTGTAACATTAAAAAAAAAAGTTAGTTTAATTGGGCAGAGAAGAGGTGCTGAAAGTAGGAGATGTTGTTCACCAGGACATGCTAAGACAGCACTGGCCAGAAGATGGCCCTCTCTCTTTCACCAAGAGGACATCTCTCTCAGAAGCCTGCTAGATCTATGTGAAGGGGAGGAAAGGGTGGCCAGGCCATATGGGAGGTAATTACATGCCCTTCTGGTTTCCAGCGCAGGCCTGCAGACGTCAAGATGGGAAGGATCACACTGTGAATGAGACAACAAAGAGTCCAAACTCTGACCTCCCCCCACCCCAGAATGAGTATTGTGCTCACTTAAAATCACACAAAGACATTCCAGCGCTTTTGTTTTCCAAAGAGAAAATAACCTCTTTCTGTGTTGTGGCCTGAGGCGAGATGAGGAAGACTGTCACCAGGCACCTCTGACAGTATTCACACGAACAAACTGTTCAGGAGTAGAAGGACGTACTCCTCTCAGAAAAGAACCCTGTACTCTTGGCCTCATCAACTGAACTTCTCTTCGGTGTTAAGGATTTGTTAAATTGAAGGAGGCGTTAATGTGTGAACGTGGCCAGCATGAGCATTAACGCCTACGGGTCTAGAAGAAAGCACGGCCTAAACAATCCAATTAAAACAGTGACAAGTCTATCATCACCTATTAAACCCACCCTTTCTCCAAGGAACTCAGGGTAGTAACACCTGAAAGCTGCCTTTTTCTGAGTCGGACCTCTGTTCTAACAAGGTCTAGACTGGTGGCCTAGGGTCTCAGACAGAGGTCCTTCACATCTACTATCAGATCCTTTTATCTGGAGAGTAAACCTGGGACCTTCTGCATCCAAGGCAGATGTTCTGGTACCAAGCCACATCTCAGGACCTGGGGCTGCTTTATAGAGTCAGACTACGGGTCTATCAAGGTCAGCATTGCCTACTCTGACGAGAAGAGGCTCTGGAGGATCTCAAATGGAAGTCCTCACATCACCTACTACCTGATCCTTTTAACTGGGGAAGTTGGGGATTGGACCTGGGACCTTCTGCGTGCCAAGCAGATGCTCTACCACCCAGCCACAGCCCCTCCCCTATATGGTTCTCTCTTCCTCTGATTTTTATCTTCACATCATCCCTGTGACGTAGGCTACACAAAGAAAATGAGTGGCCCAAGGTCATCCGGTACGCTTTGTGGCAGAGGAAGTACTTGAACTCAGGTCTCCAGCAGTCGAATCACTGCATTACATCACACTGCCTCTTTCATGAAAGCTAACTATTCCTAAGTGCTAATTCAATTTGTGACTGTTGTTACCATATACCATTGACTTGGTATGTCTGGTCAAGGCTCTTTGCATTTATGAATGTTTGTGTCTGTGTTTTTAAATAGTGGCATCTTAACCTGAGACACAAAAACCCTGCCTTTTCAGAAACATGACTAACAATAAACTAAAAAAAGTCTGAGCTCACCAAAGGACCCCCCTCCCCTTCCATGAGTCACCCCCCAGCAACCAGGAAATGTCATTACAAGCACTTTTTGTTTGCTGTCAGAGCTCTTCTGCATCTGTCCGTTCCTAAACCTCAGTGACGCGCAGACACACTCAGCCATTCATGCGCAAGATAAACATGTTCGTCTCCCACAGTTGTGCGCGTTCACACTCTGAACGCAACCACAACGACAATTTCCAAACAAGCACTTTACTTGCATATTAGGTTCAGCACTGCACAACTTGCCTCCTGTGCCATTCAGGAAACCATCTGGGTGCTGCCGCCATTCCCCATCCCCAGAAGAAAAGTTGCAATTATTCTGCATTGTTTTGCTTTGAAAAAAGGTAGGGCAGAGGGTGCCCTACTCATCTGTCTCTTCTGCTCAGGAAGCCTGACCAGTTAACCCTCCCAAAGTGAACTGACCAGTTCCCACCCCTTTCGGGAGATTGTTGCTTACCAAGTCAACCTCATGCCCATATAATTTTGCAAAATAATTCTATGCACATTCCCTTTTGCACAACTACAGGCTGAAAGCCCTTATGTACTCATTTAATCCCCCCCCCCCCGAATCTATACACAGTGACAAGCAATTTTTATTTATTTAATTCATTTGTACCTTGCCTTTCTCCCCAATGAGGACCCAAATCGGCTTACGTCCTCTCCTCCATTTTATCCTCACAACAACCCTGTGAGGCTGATTAAGCTGAGAGAATGTGACTGGCCCAAGATCACCCAGCAAACTTCCATGGGATGAGTAGGGGTTCAAACCTGGAGTCTTCCAGAGACATACTTCCAGATACCACACTGCTCTCTGTCAAGAGATATCTCCTCTCCCTTTGCCACCCCAACAAACATTTTACTATTTTGTGAAAGTGTTCTGTTTTATAAGCAGAAATATGAGAAATCACACTTCATCAAACATGTTTTTAAAATCTTCACACACAGCACTCAGATTCTGTCCCCTTTCTGCCGCCCTGAGCCCGTTTGGGGAGGGCGGGATATAAATCTAATAAATAAATAAATAAATAATTCTTCCTCTGTTACTCGAAATGCTTGAGATCTCCCTTCACTTGTGGGAAGTGAAGGTAAATTGAGAGTACTTCCATCAGGTGCAGGAGCAAAAGAAGGCCACTGCCAAACCTAAGGCTGCTAGGCCGCAGCTGGCAAACCCCTCCCAGAAGAAATGGGGGGGGCTGGTGATGCTGCTGCCCCCTCCCCCATTTCCTCCTGCCATTATCTAAGGTGCCAGCAGGCAGTAAGGGCAGGTACTGGGAGGCCTCCTGCTACCCCTAGTTAATTAATTACTGTATGGCAGTGGGTGCAGTATAGCCAGGAGATCCAAAGGTTGTCTGGCGGCATGAAGCTAGGTTTATCTTTTTGGGCTGAGAAAACTGTGACTGACTCAAGGTCACCCAACTGGCTTCAAGTGGAAGAGTGGGGGATCGAACCTGGTTCTCCAGACTAGAGTCCGCCACTCTTAACCACTATACGACACTGGCTCTCTACCTCTGAGCCAAACCTCAGCACTGGGAAACGTTAGCATACGCTAGAAACCCTGGCCCCACACCTTAATACTTACGATCTTCACTTCCTTAGCCCTTCCAATCCAAAGGCAGTGTCCAGCCACACACACACCTTTTCCTTTTATAACGTGTGGCATGTTAATGAAAAGATAGTGTGCAAATGAGATCATGCCACCGGAAAAATGAGAAATGCAGAGAGGAGGAGCCAGCAGGGTGCCTGAGACAAGAAGAACCGCAGCCTTCTCCCCAATCTCCTTGCTCCCCCTTCCACCTCCCTCACAGAACCACTCTCTTCTGACTGAGCTCCCAGCTCCCAGCTGAGCCAAACCATTCCCACCCAGTAACCCCCACAAGCCTGCAGAAAGCCTTTCTCAAAGAACCAAGCGCTTTACAGCGGGTGGGCCCTTCAGAGATGCTGTCCTTCCCCAACACGGACTACAGTCATATCCTCTCTGCCTTGAGGGTACTTCTGGGGACTGATAAATAGGACAAAGATACGTTAAGTACAGTATTAAAAATAAATGTCTGCCTAGCACAATTTTCTCCTGCCAACCTAGCAGTTCGAAAGCAAGAAATTGCAAGTAGGTAAATAGGTACCACTTCGGTGGGAAGGTAACACCGTTCCGTGCGCCTCGGTGTTTAGTCATGCCGGCCACATGACCACGGAAACGTCTTCGGACAGCGCTGGCTCTTCGGCTTTGAAACGGAGATGAGCACCGCAACCCTAGAGTCTGATTCGGCTGGCTGTCGAGCAAGGGAACCTTTACCTTTAGCACAATTTTATCCCATTTTTCTCTGGCGAGCTCAGAGCCATCCTCTTCATCCTTTTATCCTGACGACCAACCCAGTGAGGTAGCTGAGGCTGAGAGAGACTGACTGGCCCAAGGGTCAGGCTCTGAGCTGTGCGGAATGGGGATGATTGGAACCCGGGTCTCTCAAATCCTAGTCCAACACTAACTACTACAGAATACCAACTCTCCCTTGGTGGCAGTTTCCACCTGTCTCTAGTAACACACCCTTTTTCTTGCCATGAGGGTTCAGGGGGCTAAACTCGCCGGCAGTCGTCATATCCCACTTTGATGCTCTCTGATTCCCACAGCTACCGCAGCCATTCCCAGAATTCATTGCTTCTGGACATTCTCCTAAGTATCTGAATCCAAGTGCTGTCATCATAATGCTGACAGATTAAATTTGGAGGATTCCCCCCCCCCACCCCGCCCTCTTAGATATTTTCCACCACAAACTCATTTTTTAGCCCGCATGTAGAGGCTGGCATTTCATACTGAGCCCTAATAGTTTTCCTTCATGCTAGCTGTTGCTTTGAAAAGAAGCTGTATAGATTTGAAAGGCCGTATCCTTCTCTTTTCTCGCAAAGGACTTAATTTTTTTTAGGGACAATGAACAAGCTCCCTAGAAGGAAAGCTGTCTCTCCAATCTAGTACACAGATGTGGAACAGTGCTTGGTGGTCTCTGAAACTGAAAGTACAGGTTTATGACAGAAAAGTGAGGGGTGAGGGCTACAGTAGAAGCCCTTAAAATGAGCATGGCAGAATTCTCTTCCACGCATTGCCCCTCTGCCTTTAATGCAGTGGTAGAGCACACACTTCACATGCACAAGGCTAGGTACTAGGTTCGGTCCCTGATGTCAACAGCTTAGAGGGGTTCTCGGACAGCAGGGCTGGGCAAGGGCGTCTGCCTGAAATTGCGGACAGCTGCTGCCCATCAAAACCAACCATACTGACAGAGGTGGGGGAGGAGAGGGGACAGGACAGCCACAACAGCCAACGGCGCAACACCATTTTTCTGTCAGCCTTACCTCAGTATGGATATTGGGCACAGAGCCAGTGAGCCCATTTTCTGTGATGGCGCTGTTGGAGCTGTTTGGGGAGCTAGGGCCAGACCCAGGGGCACTGTTGCACATTGAAGACACTGCAAGCAGAGGGAAGAAAAAGGGAGGGTGCCAATACATCAGCCTTTGTACTCAAGTAGATGTGCTAGACAGTGATGAATCAAGAGATGGTGGCATGCAGGTTCTCAAGAATCCCGGCTTTCATTCTGAAGTAAAATCAAGTTTCGAGTCCTCAGGACAAAAAAAGTATGGGACTTGAAAAGCACTAACAGACTTATTGTTATGGGGGACCCAAGACTTCTTGCTTTCTCTGCTTCTACAGATACTCCTTCCACACCATGTACACCAATTCTCCCCTGCCTACAAAGGACTGTAGACTATGTCTGCGCAAATTATGCATGGAAAGCAGAATCACAATAATCTGCACATATCTATATAATTGGTTCCAGTGGTTTTCAAACTTTCTGTCTTCAGAAAGACATTTCCAGCATTTATTTTGTTTACTTTATTCCCTGCCTTTCTCCCCAGAACAGCTTACATCATTCTTCTCTTCTTCATTTATCTTCACAACAATCCTGTGAAGCAGGTCAGGCTGACAGTGTTTGATTGGTCCGGGATCACCCAGCAGGATTCTGTGGAAGAGTGGGGATCTGAACCTCAAGTCTCCCAGAACCTAGTCCAAAACTCTAACCAGTACATAACACTGGCTCTCGACTTCTCATTATCTTGCTTAGTGGGGAATCCAAGTGTAAACCACAGAACCCTGGCATGTTGCAAAGGATTATAGGCAGTGTTCGATGGCATGCAGTGTATGTGGATGCTGCCAGCTCATCTAACACTTCCAGACAGCAGAAAGAGGTCAACAGCAGTGGGCAAAGTGTCCTCCAGAAATCACCAGTCTTCTTGCTAATGAGCCCCTGATGAGCTGAGAAAGAACTTCAAGTACCCTGGGAACACAGTCTGAAAGCTACTGATCTATTCTAGTCACAAAATTTAGCTTTCCAGCATTTTGAGAAAAGGCAAGAGTTGTACAGATGCAAGGCATAGCTTTCTGCACACACAGGCAGATGACAAAAAACTCCCAGAAATGTGTTCTGTGATTCTGAGTTCTTGGTCAGGCTCACGTTTGAGAGGAAAATATATTTAGATTCTTTTTATATAAAAAAAAAACTTTTCTCCCTTGATATTTGCTATTTCAAATTCATCTTTCTGTGTTGGTGGAAGGTGCTGTCAAGTCACAACCGGCTAACGGTAGCCACATAGTGTTTTCAAGACAAGAGATGAACAGAGGTGGTTTTGCCATCACCTCCCTCCGTACAGCAACCCTGGCTTCTCCTTGGTGGCCTCCCATCCAAATCATTAATCAGGGCTGACCCTGCTTAGCTTCCGAGATCCGATGAGACTGGGCTAGCCTGAGCCATCCAGGTCATCTTCTGATCCTGGCTACAAATAAACTGAAATTTAAACACAGATACAAAAAATATATAGAAAATGCCTGTTTCCAATAATGAAGCTCGGATATTTATATAAGTGAGCAATCAGTCAGCAGCTGACCCCCTCTCTTACTGTCTAAAATAAAAAATTCCCTCAAAAGCAGCAGGTGTTTTGGGATTATACACCCTCCCTCTCCCCTTCCCCACAAACAAAATGGCCACCAGCCAGATTTTGACCTTCAGGATTAATATCAGTAGCTCATCTCAAGGTGTGTGTGTGTGTGTGTGTGTGTGAGAGAGAGAGAGAGAGAGAGAGAGAGAGAGAGAGAGAGAGAGAGAGAGAGAGAGAGAGAGAAAATGCATTCTTTACTGAGATAGTTGTTCATTTGTCTAACACTCCCTCACGTCACCACTATGAATTTTAGGAATCTTTTTAAATGGGTGTTTCTTATTTCGATGGATACATAGTGACACAACAGTATCTGATAACTATTTTACATTAATCCCAGTTTAGGCTGTTACTTTCTTTTCAAGTCATTTACATAAGGGCTTTCATATACACCAAGGCACCAGTATTACGTGTTTCCCCATCTTTATTTACACATACACATTTATTTCTACATACACACCTCCACAATGGGGACTCAAAGCAGCTTAAAACATTGTGCCCCCTGGAATATTTTTAGGCCAGGACTGTGTGCAACCCTGGAAGTGATGTCACTTCCGACCAGGGGTCATTTCCTGCGGGAGCACACAGGAGCGGAGCTCCAGCAGTAAAGAGCCCAGGGGGCGGGCACATGCAACAAGCCCCGCCCCCTGCTTCCAGAAGCCCTCAGTCAGAGCAAGAAGCAGCCAGGTAAATTGCAGAGCCCCCCCCGCCACAAGGAGCAAGAAGCAGCCAGGTAAGTTGCAGAGGGCCCCCTCCCGGCCTGCCTTCAGGTACAAGCTCTCCCTCGTCCGGGGGGGACAGACCTCCCCCCCCCCCCCCCAAATAGCTAGCAATCCAAAACAGTCCAGTGGAGCCTGAGCGGTGGGTGTTGCCTTCTGACACACTTCCGGTGATGTCAGGGTGTGTGGCATATGCAAATAAGTTATGCGAATGAGCTCCTGCACCTCTTTTTCTACAAAATGACCCCTGCTTCCAGCTGACGTTGAGGGTATGTGCGCCCATCAGCGACTATTTTCTGAGGAAAAACTGAGTATAAAGACAGATATAGATAGCTTCAACAGTGAGCCGGGTAGAGAAAGGAATATTCATTAACTTTTTGGATATCTACACGAATAGCCTTCTCACCAGGATTGAGATCAGGAGGAAATTATTCTGGTGGGTTTTAGCAGAAACACCACACTGATTGGCTACCCTTCATGTCAGTCATGAAGCTACGCCCCTCCTCTTCCTTCCCCGCATTTCCAAAGAACTGTGATAGTGGTGACTGGCCAGTCCTTGTATCAGTTACAAATTCACTTCTTGCTTTTTCAGCACAGAGCTGTGATTGGCTGGTCTTTGTATCAACCACGAAGCCAACTTCCTCCTTTCTGAACAGAGTATAAAGAGTTTTAAAACACTGTAAAAACCTTACAGGCCAAATAAACCAGGGAACGGGAGAAGCAGAGCATTCTTGCCAGCCGAACAACCCACTCCTGGTACTTTTCACAGGTACACCTGCCTTTACCGCGAAGTAGCTTTCTGAGAGTCTAACTAGATGTTATCTCAGCAAACACATCCCAGATTTACCTAGATAATGGGAATGCAGAAGCAGGAGGCCCAGTTGCAGAGGGAACCCAAGGGAGGAGAATTGTAATCTCATTCATGCCTACTGATTTTGGGTGCATATACTCCCATCCAGGGCTTTTTTTGTAGAAAAAGCCCAGCAGGAACTCATTAGCATAATAGGCCACACCCAACAGCAGACACGCATTAGCATATTAGGCCACACCCTTGACAGCACAGCACATTAGCATATTAGGCCACAAACCCCATGTTACCAGAAGTGTGGTCATCCAGCCACACCCACCTTTTGCTTCTTATTCTGTTTACTTTGTTGTCAAAACCCAGAGAGTTTTTTTGTAGCAGGAACTCCTTTGCATGTTAGGCCACACACCCCTAATGTAGCCAATTCTAATGAGTTTCTGCTGTTGGGTGTGGCCTATTATGCTAATGAGTTCCTGCTGGGTGTGGCCAACTCGGGAGCCAGCTGGAACTCCGTTCCTGTGCGTTCCTGCCCAAAAATAGCCCTGCTCCCATCCCTACCCATTACCCCAGCCTAGCTGTTTCTTCCCCAGCCAGGCTTCCTTCCTCTCACCTGTGATTTCGATTGCTCGCTTTTTGAAGGTGCTGATGACGGTCCCATCTTTCCTCCGCAGCAAGGGGCTGCTCCGCCTCTCCGCAACCTTCTGTTTTAACCGTGACCGCACTTTTAAGTTGGGTTCTGATGCTGGAATGAAAGGGGCCAATGGGGGCCAATGAGAAGACAAGCCAAAGAAACAGCCAGGTTGTTGGCCAGGCAGACTGGCGAAGGTGAAGATGATGAGAGAAAGGCAAACTATGCTTGCACTGATACTAGTCACTCACGTTCCCAATGGAGACATCAAGCCTCTTTAAACTGAAGGAACACATTTCCGAGAACAGCCCTACCTCATAGTGGCCAGCCTAGTCTACAGTGGCAACCTACTGCTTGGTGATACAACACAGATCCCACAGAGGTAATGTCATGCTCTATGCAGGTCTAGAAGAACAAGCTGTTAACAGAAACCAACATCGGGCAGAGGTTTCCCATTCATATCTAAAATTGCTAATGATCTTCACATACCCAGAAGTTCCCCTTTATATAGCCTTTTCACAATTCATTCCCTGTGCAAAACTGTGTACATGCTGGAATCACAGCCAGTGTTCCCTCTAAGCTGAGTTAGTGTGAGCTAGCTCACAGTTTTTTAGCCTCCGGCTCACACATTTTTGTCTCAGCTCAGGAAGGATGGCTCCAGAGCAAACTAATTCATGCAGCAGCCAAATCTTTTGCTCACAACTTTAATGCCAGTAGCTCACAAAGTAGATTTTTTGCTCACAAGACTCCACAGTTTAGAGGGAACATTGATCACAGCACAGCCTATATCTTCCCAGCTATACTGGACAACTTTGATGTCAATTCTTCTTTCCACCTCATCTAGAAGATCTCAGGCCTCATCTTCTTCTAAGGTTTCCAACACTGTCTTGGCAAATGCTAGCAGACTTGTGGGAAGGGGCAGTGCCTGGGGAGGGTGGTGTTCGATGCTCCCTCTAAGCTGGGGAGACTTGTGAGCAAAAATTCTACTTTGTGAGCTACTGGCATTAAAGTTGTGAGTGGGCGATTTGGCTACTGAATAATTTAGTTTGCTCTGGAGCCATCCTTCCTGAGCCGAGACAAAAATGTGTGAGCTGGAGGCTGAAAGACTGTGAGCTAGTTCACACTAACTCAGCTCAGAGGGAACACTGGTGGTGTTTGATGTTCAAGGAATATCCCCTAATCCTTATGGTAAAGACCACAGAGTCTTTCTCAAGGGCAGGGGACTGGGGCTGAGGGTGGAAATTCCCCCCCCCCCCTGGCCCAAGCAATTAGAAAGTCTATCTTCTTCTCAACTAGACATTCTCCTTCAAAAATTACGCAAAGTCACGTGTGTTACTGTTAACTCTCATTCAGATCACATTCATAGACATGCATTAGAGGCTAAGCAAAACATCTTTATTGTGTCTCTCAGATTCACTGAATTCAGGCTCAATGCCTTTGGAATTTTATTTGCAAGCAAAAAAGCTCCAGCCTGATAAAGCAGGTCAGCACGCAATAAGCACAGAATACTTCAATAATTTCCAAAGAAGTTTAGTTCTAGAAAGGAGCTCTGGTTTCATGTGACAGCTGGGCTCCCCCCCCCCCCAAAAAAAAAACAAAACTTGTTTACAGCAAACCTCTTGCAAGGAGCAGCTGTGCTGTTACATTAGTTTTATTTATTTATTTGATATTAAAGTATTTTCCCCCCTGCCCTTGCATTCATTACTAGATCTGCAAGGCAGCATACGATAAATTTAAACACTGTATGAAATAAGAACATCAAAGAACTCCAAACCAAAAACCAACACAAAGCAGCAGATGTAAAAACTTCCCACAGACTTAAATAGAAACCAAAGCTCACTGACACAAGAAGAGTTTTCAAATCACGCTGAAAGTCAGCAAAAGAAGGCGATGTGGGGGGGATCGCTCTGCTGGAGCGCCACAGTTTTTGTAGTGTTGCAGAGAAGGCCCTATTCTTGTGTGTGCACTGACTAAGGGTTGCCAAACTCCAGGTGGTATCTGGAGATCTCCTAGGATTACAACTGGTCTCCAGGCGGCAGAGATCAGTTCACCAGGAGAAAATGGCTGCTTTGGAAGGTGAACTCTATGGCATTATACCCCAACAAAGCCCCTCCCTTCCCCAAACCCTGCCCTCCTCAGGCTCCACCCCCCAAAACCTTCCGGTATTTCCCAGTCTGTAGCTGGCGACCGCACACCTACTGCACGCCAGACGTTAACATGCCAATAGCTGATCTTTTGCAAAGAAGCTCTAGTTGCATCTAAAATGGCAACGCTTGCCGACGCGGTTGGCCTTACTAATCCTATTTGCACAAGAACCCTAGCAAGGAGCTCAGCCAAGGCTAAATGCAGAATGCTTTATCTTAACGAAGTTCCACAGAAAATGAGTTTTTGCACAAGAGCCTCATTTCAATTAGCAACAGAACATCTGCAAACCTTATCAATAATATTACTAACGAGAGCCCCCCTTTCGTCTCTACGTCTCCAAGTGAAGACACACATCCCTGGTCTTTACAAGCTGATACACCTTAAAAGAGAATGCCCCCCCCCCCAAGCACTTCCCCACCCAGCATGCAATGCAGGACCTCCTTCTACCCCAGCCCAGTTTTTCCTGTTTGTTCCACCATCAGTGGCATCTACTGACCAGTTTTCCGGAGTGGAAAGTCATCTCTGCTGTCGTAAGTGCCGAGTAAAGGTAGTTTGCAAGAGGGTGGTGTTCCCGGACTTCCTGTCTGGGGAGGAGAACTCTGGTCCAATGAGGTATGGTGAGCCCCCCTGCAGAAACATGGAAGGAAAATGACCAATACGACTGTATTGGTTAGCAGATCCAGTGGACAGAAATGAAGAATGGACAAGTCTTTACAAATGTCTTTTAAACTGCTGGTTGGGGCCAGCTATCAGGAGCATGTGGCCCTGATATTACAGCAATTACACTGGCTACTGATCTACTTATAAGCCCAGTTCAAGCTGTTGGCTTTGATCTTGGGGACGGTGTAACTGAAGGACCACCTTGTCCCATATTTCCCTGCCCGGGAATTAAGATCACAGGGGAGAGGCCCTCCTAACTGTCCCATCAATCAAAGAAGCTCAATTGGTGGGTACATGAGAGGGCCTTTTCAGTGGCAGCCCCACAATTATGGAATAACCTCCCCAGGGAGGCGCTCCTGCCCCCCCCCTCACTTTCGATCTTTAGGAAGCAGTTGAGGACAGTTTTATTTAGGACCGCATTTGGTTAAGTTTCCTAGCAGTTCTGTGTTGTGATTTTAAATTTTGGGTTTTATGTTTTTAATGTATTTCATGTATTTTATCTAAGTTGTAAGCTGCCTTGAGCTCTGTAAGGAAGAAAGGTAGCTAACAAACATTTTAAATAAATTAATATAATATAATAATTATTAAATTTATATGCCGCCTCTCACTGCCAAACGGTCTCAAGATGGCTAACAACAGCTTAAAAATTAGCAGGTGTCAATTAAAAACATAATACAAATAAAACTAAAAGGCAGCCCATATAAATAGACCTGATTGATGAAAAGCAAAACGGAAGAGCTCTGCTTTGCAGGCCCTGCAGAACTTAAGATAAAATTAATAGGAGATTAGCCGGAATTGTGGTTGAGGGCGGAGTCTATATGCTTTTCAGGCTTCCACAAAGCTGAACGGACAGTTCAGATTTCTATTCTTTAATGTGGGTTAAAGAGATTGGGGGACGTGACATAGGAGATGATCCAAGTGCTAGGTAAGAATAACGATGGTTAATAATAGAGAAGGCAGGCGGGGGAGGGAATAGCGGCCCATATGGGATCTGTCCTAAGCTGCAGTCTAAATAGATTACCCGTCTCAGGCAAGCTCAGGAAATTCAGTGAGTTATTAAGAGGCTAGTAGCTTGCAGGTGGGACAACAAAAGAACCAGAGGCCAAACACAGCCTACAAAAGACAATATCACAGTTTTACAGTCCTCAAAGTCAGGGGGAAAGCAGAAAAAAACAAGAGTGCCTTCCACTGTTAATCTTAACTTGACAACCATGAAAGATACTAAGAAAGACAAAGGTGGAGAAGAGGTATGGGACAGTCTAGCAGAAGACAATGTTCTGCACTCTCTCTCACATACAAAAAAGGCTCAAAGGTTGAGGAAGATTTTAATGGATGTTTCTTGTGGGGAACCAGTGCACGTGCTCCAGCTATGGGCCTGAGGCCCCCAGACTGGTTATTTCAATATAAAAGGAGAGACCTGTGTGTGGGTTTAAAATGTGGTAGGATAGATAAATAGCGAATTAAAGAGAGTCTTGTGGTACCTTTTAAAGATATTTACTGCTGCATAAACTTTTGTGGGCTAGGTCTTGCTTCAGCCGAAGTATTTAAGGCACCGCAAGACTCACTAGTTTTTTGCTGCAGGAGAATAAAACGTCTACTGCTCTGGAAGTAATTAGCATTTACTAGTCACTTTAGCATGTGTCCTTAGTCACTGAATACGGAACCAAACTTGTGATCATTATTCTGGATAGGTTAACCCAGAGTAAAACAAAAAAAAATGAAGTTGTCTTTTGTATGCATCCCCAATTACACTGGAAGAGTGAGGTGCTCCTAGCCGTTGCTTTGAGAGAGATCCAGCTGATATGACACACATCCTTTCCCCAGCGTATCTCTTTTGCCCAAAATAGAATCTTTCACATCCTCACCTTCCTCAAGCGTGTGCATTTCTGTATATTCTGTGCACATATAAATATTCTGTTTCTGATAATACAGAGCTGTGGAGGAACAGGAAATGTGATCTTCCTTTCCCAGCCACAACACCATTGCTTTGGAAGGCACCGGTACATCCTCGTTGGCTCCGTCTCAACTATAGTAAACTGTGAGGCTATAGGCCAAGTTTTGAGAGAGAGCCCGCAGTTTCCACCACAGGGCTGACAGCCCTTTCTGAGCCTTTCCAAGGATACCTTTACTTATTTTCAAACAACCATCCTCTCCCCAGGTAGAAGTATTAACAGGAGTTTCTTTCATGAATGATTATTTTGCAGAAAGAACCTTCAACAAGAGCAGGGGTTCGAGGAGAGAAGAAATGCCTCAGACGAGGCCTTATCATCTGGGGCTGTTGGTGCAAAGTATCAAGAGGAGGAGTAAGTATTCTCCACACAACAACCCTATGAGGCAGCTTCAGATGAGACAGGACAATCACCCAGTTTCACTACTGAGTGAGGATGTGAACCAAGGGTCTCCCCTATCTCATCTGACTTTCTAACGACTACACCCCACTGGCTCTCAAGTTTACCATCCACATTTATACTGTACTCACAATCAAGGAAGTTACAGAAGGGTTCTGAGTAAGACTATTCGCCCCAGCTAAGATATAAAGACTCAGACCAAAATGTACACAAACACTGGTTAATTTATGCAACAGGCAGGTGCCATGGGTACAGACACATACTCTCACGTTTAAGAGCTACTTCCTAACCACAGGTGGGCAAGAGGAAGCGAACCTCAGATTTTGGCCCATGCTCTGAGCCACCCTTTTCTCCCTGATTACTTCACTCATTTCAAGGCTGAAACTCAACTCCACTGAAGCCCTGTAAATCCCAGAAGCCATGTAAATTCCAAATGTGAAGCTTACCAGCATTTTGGGTGCTGAGGGAGGGAATGGTTCAAGCCGCCCAGTGCACCAGGCTCTTTTGACTTGCTGAGAAGGAACTCCTGAAGTTTCAGCTTCACTTCGGTGCTGGCGATGGCACCTGTGGAAGACGAAGGGAGAAAAGAATGTCGGGCAGCAAACATGTAGGCTGAGCCAGCAGTGGGAAGTGTGCCCTCCAAGCACAGATGGGCTCTCTTAAAATTCCAGAAAACATCCTACCAACTTCCACACCTTGCCCCTTGCAAAAAGAACAGCGAATGTTCTTACAGCAAAAACGGGTTCTGTCTCAACATTCCTTAACGTGCAATGTTTCATACCAATGGAGTGTATATTCCCCCCTCCCATCTGATCCTTTCAGGCTATCCTTGAATACGGAATCAGCTTCAACTCAGCCAAGGACATGGGTGGAGAGGACATGTCCTTGCTCCTAGCTTTGGAGGCAATCTTTGTGACTGGGTTACTGAAGTTCCACTGACCAAGCTTCATTGTTTGTGATGCATCAAATGTACAGTATTTAGACATACAGAACAATCCCATGGGCCACTGTAAATGGGCACAGCTAGATACCACCTCACCCTGGAGTGTCTAGTCAGTATCCTGTGTTCCCTCAGAACTATAGGAGACTGGCAGGACAGGGGAGGGATTCCCCCCCCCCCACTTAATTCAGCGGTAGGGTGAATATCTTAGCAAGTTTCCACTGTTGAGGGCAGAAGGACTGCTCTGGGGAAGTAGAGGATGAGAACCTGGTTGGCCTTCAAACCCTCCCATCGCTGACCAGATGTAAAGTAACATGGTCATAAAAGGGATGGGCACAAACCAAATTTCGTGACGATTCGGGTCAGTCTGTGCAATCACAAACCATGACTAGCGCAGTCATGCTGATTGCAAACCACCCACAAACCACCATAGTTTTTGCGGTGGTTCGTTCAGTTCGTGAGAGCATTCGTGGGCCAGACATGCTGGCTCCCGAGGCAACAGTCAGAAACCTTTAAAGCTGTGCCACAGCGGCCTTCTGAGTACACTTTCAAGGGCTGCCACGGCTTCTGCAGGGGTTGCCCATCCCTAGCCATAATGTCCTTATTCTGCTGCAAACTGGAATTACACCTATGTAAAACAGTGACCATATTTATCTCAAAAGGAAGATGACCCTGAATGTTTAAGATGACCCCCCCCCCAAAAAAAAGGTTAGACATAAAAAGTTTTTTTTTCTTAAATTACCAGACATACATCTAACTTGAATGCAAATTTAACACAACCCCCTTTTTCTTGATGGTGCTCCCGGGAAAGAACTTAGCCAGCTTTCCTTCCAGGTAAACAGGGTACTTCCCTTTCTGTCTGGTCCAAGTGTTGTTGCCAAGGCCAAGGGACTCAGGTTTGGGCACTAATTCTCCGGACGGCAGTTTGAAATATCAGCACTGTCATCTAGCCTGTGCACTTGACAGCTTCTTTTAAGACTTCGGTGTGTTCCTGCTCATAGTTAACTACCACACATGTAAATTGAAGATGACAGCCAACAATCTGGCACGAACAACTCAACCAGCTTTGTGTTCAGTGCAATTAATTTCCATGTTATTTGTGTGACAAACAGTCCGCCCTCTTCAAAGCTACATGATCATGACCGCACACGTTCACAGATATCATGCTATAATCCCTGGAATGTACGTGGAAGTACTATCGTTTATATAGTGCTATTTAGTGTGACCTCATCAGCCAACCTCCACCCCATGAGTCTCAGGATTTGGGATGCTGGAGACCTGGCAGAGCTGGATTGCCTTAGTAGCTTTATTTTTGTATTATGGGGACAGAGGCTAAAACAATCAACTATCATAATAGTCTCAACTAACTTCACAAGACATAGAAATGAAAAGGGGCTGGGACCAATGTCCCCTCTAAGCTGAGGAGTCTTGTGAGCAAAAATTCTACCTTGTGAGCTGTTGGCATTCGTGAGCAAGCCACTTGGCTACTGCTCTGGAGCCATCCTTCCTGAGCTAAGACAAAAAATGTGTGAGCTGGAGGCTAAAAAACTGTGATCTAGCTCACACTAACTCAGCTTAGAGGGAACACTGGCTGGGACTGAGCCCACTTTTGTGGTGGTGAAAAAGAGAGGAGAGAGATCCCCTTTGACTATCCAAAAAAGGCTATCCTGGCGATCAAGGGACCTGCACAGACAAGAGCTTTGTGGGACAGGGACTGTAGTAAGGAAGAGAATTGGGAAATATCAAGCGAAAAAAGTGAGTTGGATCCAACCTGTAGTGTTGGTCTAGTGTACATTTGTTGGTGACAGTAGGACTGCAGGAAGGGGGTGCTCAGAGTGAGAGATGAGGCAAGATATCAATTGATTTTATTTTAAAAAATGTATATCCCTCTTCTCCAGAAGCCAGGTAGCATACAATCAAAGATGCAAGTGTATAAACCATGCTAATTACTGTCTTTAGGAAAATCAATAAAAATCTAAAATATGGCATACTGAACTAAAACCAAATGCTAGCTAAATAGTCACCCAGTCCCAGTGAAATGATAACACATCCTCATATATCCTCAAACACCCCATCCTAAACAACAGGAGCCACCACTAAGAAGCCAATGGCCTGGCTGGCACTATGTCAAAGCAGCCAACTTTGGAAATTTGGGAGTGATGCCTGGGGAAGGCAGAGTTTGATGAGAGGATGTGACACCACAGAGTCAATGCTCTGAAGCTGCCATTTCCTCCAGGGGAACTGATCTCTGTAATCTGTAGACCATTTATAATTCCAGGAGAATTCCAGGCCTCACCTTGAGGTTGGTAACCCTATACCATGTGGACACAGTGATTAGAAGGCACCATCAGAAGGACCTGGTGGGTGGACTCATGTAAAGACAGGTGGCTCTTCGGGTCTCATAATGATGGTAAGATGAAGACAGTTTAGGGAAGCAAGTTTGAAAAAAGGTGAGAGAGCATGCCTTGAACAGCAGACAGGCGGTGCCACTGTAGGTTTATAGATCAGGGATTTTGTGACTACTCAGGTCTGATTCTTTTACAGAGTTTTGTTTATGGTTTCTCTCAGCAGCCAGAATGAAACCTCCCCAAAACAGCATTCAGAAGACACAGAAATAAGAAGAGGAAAAGTGGGCAGAAGCTCACACAACAGTACTGAGAGAACGACAACAGGAGGAGAGAGGAAGAGTCAGGTGAGACAACGTAAGAAGGACTAGAACCTTGATTTTGAAATGGAAACGAACAGAGAAGCCTGTGCTTCAAGAAAGGGATGCTCCAATGAGGGAAGAGGAAAACAGAGCTGAGTGGCTGGATGCTCAGAGTCTCCTATGAAGCAGAGACAAAATATACGCAAACAGACGAAATGGTGTGGGAGGCAGTGGCCAGATGCTAAGAATGCTTTGTGTATTCCTGTCCTTGGTATGATGACGTCATAGCCGACCTACATTTCTCATGTTCAAATGTTAAACATTTGTGTGTGTGTATGTTTCTAAGGAATATTGTCTTCAGTATGCCCTACTGTGGGAGAGGACAATTGTATTTTAGAATGATCCAGAAAAAGATGTGTCCGTTCACATAAATGAGAAAACACAAGCCCACCATACGCACCACCACTCTCCATTCTTTAAAAATCAGCAACATTCCTAGATACTGCAATTCAAATGAAAGAGAACTGCCTTCCCTTATTACATGCTGTATGAAGCACCTGTACTGAATTTTTTTTAAAAAAGAGGCATCACAGACAAAATGGAATTCTTAGCATACTTTTAAAGCCCATATTTCCACCATAAATTTTAATCCTTTCCAAGTTAAGCTGTTATCTCCATGCCCTGCTACAAAATTCCTAGGAATTAAAGATTTATAAGGATACAAGAAGTCCTTTGTAACAGGACTACAGGGTTTGGCCATTTCAGGGACATTCCTTTACATGAATTTCAGCTCATTAAAAAGTGGGCAAGTACTTAACACATTTTAAATGTCATAGAATTGTATTGAATAGAATTATGTTTCTGAGACATATTGGGCGACCTGCCTTTAGGTTCTAGTTACTATGCACTGATTCACCTCCCTGTAATCACATACAAGACACCACAAAATTTCTGGGGTATCTGCCTACTAACAGAAGAGTTCCTGGCATCTATGATGGCTTGGGGGTGAGTGGGGATCCACCCTCCCCAGAACGGACTCAGGGTGAATCATAAGAAACTGAGTTCAAGACTCGTTACATAAAATCAAATTAAAATCATTAAAACAATAAGCAATAAAAACACACAGGTAGCAACAATTTCATCTAAATTGGTTGAAGCCACAAGATGAAATCAAATGGGCCCTTTTCAGGAGATTGGGAACTAAAGCAGGGAGGCCAACTAAGGTAGATGCCCTCCGCCTCACCTCAAGGTAGATGCCCGCCGCCTCACTTTTTATCACTTATAAGTAGTTCTTTGATAAAGAAATGGCTGGGAACCCTAGCTTTCAAACAAACCCTTAAGACTCTAATTTAGAAATAAGATTTCCACTGCTATCTGAATTTTGGGAGTCACTGATTGTACCATTTTTAAATATATGCTCGTAATGGGAGATCTTAATAGATTTTAAATTTTCTTTTAGTTATGCTTCACTGTAACTGTTTCTGAGTTTTAAAAAACTTGAGTCTCAAAAAAAAACAACCCAGGGTTTTTTTGATTTTGTTTAAAAAAAGAAACACGATTGGGAAATAACACCATTTTAGCTCCTTTCCATTCAACCCCAACCTCTTGGGATACAGTGATCTAAAGAAATACAAAATAAAACAAAAATTTACTCTCTTTGCTTTTCTCCTTGTTGCGCAAGATAAGTAGCTGCTGCTCCAGACGCTGCTTCTCCAGCTCTTCTTGCCGCTGCTGTTCTCTCTTACGCTGCTGCTCCAGCTCCTGCTGACGCTTAGCGGCCAGCATCTCCTGCTGCTGCTGAAAGGGGAGGGGGGAATTGCATTAACACCACAGCAGACAAGAAGGGGCAAAAGAGCCTGACATATTTCAACAATTCAAGGAGTGCAGGATTTCTCTCCCCCCCCCCGACTCCCAGCTTACAAAGAGGAGACTACAAGAGTTGGGAAAGCCCCCGGTTCCAGGCTAGTGCCAAAAGTCTCCTGTGCCATTAACAACTGCATCACTGGCAGGGTTTATGTCCACCATTTTCACAGCCCAAAAGGTTTAGAGTCGGGGTGAGCAAGCTGAAAGACAGCGAGAGCAAACTTCCAAGGTCAGGCATACTATAGTGGAGTTTAGAGGGGACTTATGGGGCCATGGCACTGCCATGGGAGCCCTCTATTTGCCTTTTACCTCCCTCACTGTTCCTATTGCCTCCAGAAGGGAACAGTTGGTCCATCCCTTTAGATGCCCCCTTTAAACTTTAAAAGGCCTTTATTTCCAATGGGTGGTAGACCAGGTCTCCAGAGGCCAGGTCTACTGTCTGTTGAAAATAATGGCCCTTTAAAGGGCCAATATGCTGCAGACCAGCTGGAGCACAGTCCCTTCTCCCTGGCTGCTCCTGCTGGGGGGGGAGGCACTGCAGGCTCAAAAAACATTTTAATTTCACTTGATAATTTCAGAAAGGGCATTGTTTCCACTCCGTTTCATAGAACCATAGAGTTGAAAGGGACCTCCAGGGCTATCTACTCCAATCCCCTGCACAATGCAGGAAATTCACAACTACCCCCCACACCCCGTGACCCCTGGTCCATGCCCAGAAGATGGCAAAAAAAAAACCCCTCCAGGATCCCTGGTCAAACTGGTCTGGAGAACAACTGCTTCCTGACTCTAAAGTGGCCATCAGCATTTCCCTCAGCGTGTCAGAAGGGCCACGAGTACTAAGCACTGATACAACCCTTCCTGCCCTCCCTCTCATGATCTGTCTAAGCTCACAGAATCAGCATTGCTGTCAGATGGCCATCGAGCCTCTGTCTGAAAACCTCCAAAGAAGGAGAGCTGACCACCTCCCGAGGAAGCCTGTTCCACTGAGAAACCGCTCTGTCAGGAAATTCTTCCTAATGTTTAGCTGAAAATTCTTTTTTTTTTTGCACAATATATTTATTTGATTTTATAAGCCTATATCATACATATATACAAGATCAACAAGATTACCTACATACAAAGTCCTATAATAACATTTATCTTTTTCAACAACACAGAATAACAAATCCACCACACCTACAACAATTATTTTTGTTCTTAATCTCAGCCTTATTATCTAATCCGTGTTGAATATAAACAGCATAAATCATTCAAACTGGCTTTTAAATTTTTTCCCCTTAAATTCATCTTGCACAGTTCCATCTCTCATCCCTTCTCCTGTAATCCGTCAAATCCTTGCTTGCAATATAGGGACATATTTTAATATTAGAGACAATTCCAGGTACACTCCTGGGCTGAGCAGGTAGTGCTTGACTCGCTCCTGAACTTTTGATTTATCATTGTTCATGCGTTTTATCTGCTCTTTGGCAACATACAGAAACTAAGTGTAAGAACTCTTTTGATTTCATTTCAGCCCGCTGGTTCTGGTCCAACCTTCTGGGGCAACAGAAAACAACTCTGCACCATTTAGGGGAGTACTGATATTGTTCCAATATCCTAACACAATTTTCCAACATGATAACACTGCTCACGATATTTAATGAAAATGATAATCATGACTGTCCTGACTTTCTGACATGGGATTAATATTTGAAGAGCAGAGCCCTAGTTTAGAAGTCTAAATGGACTCCAGAAAAGTCTGTCTGCCCCAGCACCTTCTCTCTTGCAAAGGTCCTGGGAAAGCACAAAGGTTGGCTCCGTGTTACGGGTGTCACACAGCAAGATGCTGTCGGGTGAGAGGTCAGACAAGTGAATGAGCAGCAGCTGCCACACCTGTGGTGGTGGTGGTGGACTAAAGGCTTCCAACATAACAGCTCATATTGCCTAAGGTTAGTGAACAAGCAAGGTTATGCCTATCCAACCTTTGGCCAAAGGGTAGTGACACACAGAAGGCTATTCGCCAACCTAGTGAATCAGCATTCATAAGTATTAATAAATTTATCAGCATTTAAATACTACATACTAAACTACAAAAAAAAACATTTGTTATGTTGACATTCCATGTTCTAAAATATGCTATGTTATCTGCTGACAGCATCTGGGGGAGGGAGGGTTACTAGAAGACGACCCCAAGACTATGTTTTGCCCAAGCACTTCTCCGTAGCCCTTAGCAGCAGCAGCAACTGCTTTATTTTATCGACTTCACTACCACTGCAACTTGCGCTACTCTACACTCACCTCTCCTTATTTGGAAAGTATTCCAGCCTGGATATTACCTTGGTCACACCTCCTCTCTGCCTCCTGCCTTTCACACTGGGAGACATTCCCAGGGCCCAGTCACACTTCTGTCTCCTTCCCCAACCAATTTCGAAATCTGTCTCTGGTCACACCCCAAATCTCCCCACTTCTCCACCAACTCATAAAAATCAAATGCTTTGTTTCTTTTACTCCTGCATCAAGAACTCCCCTCATCTCCCCAACCTGTACTTAGCGGAACCTTGGTATTCCTCACTTCGTACCCTGGGGTCTAGCTCACTTGCTGCCCTCAAGGTATACTCCACTCCACATGCTCTTCCCCTCCAGACCTCCTTTGGACTACTGCCCAAATCCCTGGTCAGATATCTCCTTGGGACTCCAACCAACCCTCTCCTCCAGGAACTTCAGACCTCCAGGTTTCTACGGGTCCAAGGTCTGTTGGGACTCCTGGCAACTTTGACACTGCCACATCAGATGTCATCCCTATGTAGAATAGATAACATCTTTTCCCCACGTTCCTTGCTGTCTTTCTCCTTGAACCCCCCCAAACTTTTTCCACTGAAGTTATGCGTCGTACAAAGGTTTTGTGTGGGAGATTGAACTATCATAACATCCAAATCCCAGGATGTCACAGAAAGCCAGTTTGGTGTAGTGGTTAGGAGTGCAAACTCTAATTTGGGAGAACCGGGTTTGATTCCCCACTCTTCCACATGCAGCTGCTGGTGTGACCTTGGGTCAGTTACAAGTCCTTTCAGAGCTGTTCTCTCATGGGCAGTTCTTGAAAGAGCTCTCTCAGTCCTACCTACCTCACAGGATCCCTGTTGTAGGGAGGGGAAGGGAAAGGAGATTGTAAGCCTCTCTGAGACTCCTTTGGGTAGTGAAGGAGGGGTATAAATCCAATCTCTTCTTCTTCTAGTCCACACTGTACACCGCATTGGTTAGGCCACACCTGGAGTACTGTGTGCCGTTCTGGAAGCTTCACTTCAAAAAGGATGTGGACAGAATGAAGCGGGTGCAGAAGAGAATGACCAAGATGATTGGGGCCTGGAGACCAAGCCCGATGAGGAAAGGCTGAAAGACTTGGGAATGTTCAGTCTGGCGAAGAGGAGGTTGAGGGGGGACATGATTGCTCTCTTTAAGTATCTGGAAGGCTGTCACTTAGAGGATGGCAGGGAGCTGTTCCTGTTGGTAGCAAAGGATAGGACTCGCAATCATGGGTTTAAATTACAGGTGGAGAATTTCTGGCTGAATATTAGGATTTTTTTTTAATGTAAGAGTAGTTCAGCAGTGAAATTGGCTGCCTAGGGAGGTGGTGTGCTCCCCCTCACTACCAGTCTTCAAGCAGCGGCTGGACGAACACTTGTCAGGAATGCATTAGGCTGATCCTGCATTGAGCAGGGGGTTGGACTAAAAGGCCTATATGGCCCCTTCCAACTCTATGATTTCAGTCAGGGGTAGGCAACCTTTCTGGACCAAGTGTCAAAAAAGAATTGCAGCCTCTACCTGTAAAGATGTGCCAGCAACCAAAAGGGATATGATGGTGGGAGATGAGAGTTATACTTGGCCAGATATGCTTGGAGCAAGCCAGGTCCCTGAAGTGCTCCCAACCATCTCAGGAATTTGCCGTGGTCTCAGCTGGTGGCTGTGCAGATCTGGGAGTGATGATGGATATAAGCCACATCTGTTTCCTTCTCCCTGCACCGCTAGTCCCAGTAGTTCTGCAACTGACTCCACTTCTTGGGCACAGATTTGGCCTTGAGTACCAAGCAAAATGGTCTGGTACGCCATTACTAAAATGCAGGCTGCAGGTGGCTATCCCTGATTTACACATTTGTTGTGGATATTTTAGTGTTTGGTTACTTGGACTACATGCATGTATCTTGTTCCTACTGAATAAATTAACTCTGATTATTCCACTCTATTCCAGCGTCCATTTCCATTCCAGATCTGTCTTGGACCATATGCATCATTATCATGCTGAGTTCTAAAAAAACAAAAACAAAAAAACTGCAGTTCCTTCAGAGAGGCAGTGCAAGAGAGATTTTTCGATTATGCCTGGACCCCCTAGTAAGTGGGCCCCAATCGTACAGACTCAGACACCTCAAGTGTAGACTTATCTTCCTGCGAACACATGGTCACAACAGTATTTTATCCAGCATGCATCAGGCCTTCTTCTTCCCACAATATGAGCTGTTCTTTTAATCCCTGGAGAAATCTCGGTGTGTGCATGTGGTGGGCTGAGAGTAGGGGGTTAGTCACACCACACTGGCACAAACAGCCAGACTAAATCTCGCTCCTATACAGTACAAAATCCAAGAATACTGGAAAAGATGTCTTTGTAAGAGACTGAGAAGCAAGTGGGAGGGTAGATGGGTGTCAAACCAGAAGAGAATGGAAGTCAAAGTTGAAAAGATGTCACCCTTCAAAAGGACTGCTGAATAAGTAGATCTACATCTAACCCAGTTTTATTATTTTTAAATAAGATACGGAAGAAATGGAAATATGGGAAGATGGCTAGAACAGAGGCGGTTGCAAGACGTTCATCCAGACACCAGCTGCTGATGCCTAATCATCGCAACCATAGATAACTTTTTAAATTTTCATGTTTAAAAAAGGGAGGGGGAAGCACAGCCCATGAT